GAGATTCGACTCGCACTGTATTGTCCATTCAGTCCTTTTCATCACATTGCAGTTCCTCGGTTATTACGTACATTGCATATCTGTGCATGTAACAGTTGGTATCGGAGCTTTGCACGTGAATCAGGACAACCTGATCTGACACGTGTGCGGGGACTAAAAAGCTAGTTAGTCTTTTCTGTTTTGATTAGGACATACTAGTTAGACCCCAAAATCACGATCTTGACCTTATCACCAAAAATCGAAATTTTTCTTTTCTCGGATTTTATTTTCTCGCTATTCTGCTGTGGGAAATTGCTATATCGCAACATCTGAAATTCCTATTTTCGTTTTGTCTTCTGAAAATCCGAAATTTTGCTGTTGAAAATCCGGAATATTTTTCTTTTCGAAAGTTTCGATTTCCTGTTGCATTTCCCGTTACTTAGAAATTCGGAATATTTTCTTCTCTGAAATTCGTTTTTCTGAAAACGGTACGGGAAATACCTCCTGCGTTATTATTTTTCAAACTGCGAATCGGAATAAATCCGAATACGTGTCATTTCTGTTCGGAATTTTTTTCGCAGTTGTAGGATTCTGTCATTCAGTTCAATAAATCATTTGCAGTCTAAAGTCGAATTTTTTTCGCTTTCAGTGATCATTTCGTACTTTAAGGGAGATTGGGAGACCTACTGAACTCGCAAAAATCGGGATTTTTATTTTTTTATTTTCCCCGAAATTTTTTTTTGCAAAGTTCAAACTTTTCTGTTTTTGATTAGTGGCTCCTTATCTAAGTGTGAGTTGGGCGATTCCCCCACCCACCCCTCCCCACCTATGTTGTTGCCATCTCTCGCCTTTCCATTTCTGTTGGTATCCGGGTATCCCCCGCGGCGGCATTGGTAAGTTGCCACGTCAGCAGACCACGTCAACAGGCCACGTCAGCAGACTACGTTAGTACGTCAGCAGGCCACGTCAGCAGGCTACGTCAGCAGGCTACGTCAGCAGTGCCACGTCAGCAGCAGAGGATACCAAACAGGTCCCGGCCAGTCTATGCGGTTGAGATCTCAAACAGCAGTCATGGACCAGCGGCCCGGAGAAGCGGATGAGGCCTATCAGGCCCGCATGCTGGCCTGGAGTACCGAGACTAAGAAACGGGCAGATGACGCTGCAGCCGCAGCGAAGAAGAAGGCAGAGGATGCCGAGCAGGCGCGTCTGCTGGCACTTGAACAACAGCGCCAGCATGACGAAGCAACACCAAGGGCTGCCGATGAAGAACGAACACAGCGCCGAGAGAAGATATTTACCGGAGAGCGGGCGTTACTTACCATGGCAGCAGAATGGCGAACCGAGGCCGAGAATAACCAGTTGGAGGATAACGCAAACAAGATAGCGCTCCTCCTCTCGCATCTCACGGATCTCCTGGCAACCTGCATTACCCAGCAGGCAGAGATCCTTGGTCTCGACAGATCGCTAGCTCACCTCCAAGACCATTTTCAGCGGTTGGAGCAGCGACCAGTCGCCGCCGCCGACGCAGGCTCTTCCAACACTGCCGACCGCCTCAATGCATTGGAGATGCACGTCGGCTCACTCCAGGATGGCGCACAGTTACAGCTCACCGCGACGCAACACCAGGCTTGGTTGGACAACCTCCTGTCCAAGTACGGAGTAGTAGCGGTCGACTTGCACACCAAGATCAGTTGGGATGATCTGAAGGCGGCGTGGCACAAGCGGTTCCAGGTGGAGCCGCCAGAGATCAAAGCCATGGACAAGCTCATGGTCTTCGAGCAAGGCACTCTGCCGAGTACGGACTGGATCGCCGAGTACCAACACTTGACGTCAGCCCCAGACATCCAGATGGGCTTCAAGGCCATCCGCCATTACTTCATCTCAAGGTCATGTCCGACATTGAGTAATGCCCTGACGCATGTCGAGGACACCTTGACGACGACGGCGGAACTATTCGACAAGGCTGCGCAGATCATCATCACGAACAAGGAGGCCAAGAACCTCCGTTCATCTGCGTCAGGCCCGAGCAGGGACCAGCATCGGCCAAGAGTGGCCGTGGTCGCAGCGGCAGCGCCGTTAGACCAAACCAGCGAGGTTGTGTCTGCCAGTGAAGGGGACAGATTCACAGCCGCCCGGGAAGGTGGCCGCGCCGGCAGAGACCGAGGACGCGGCAAGACGAAGACACACACCGTTTCTAGCCCCGGGCCCGGTGCAGCAGCTCAGACAGGCCCATGGACCCTGTATGGCATCTCCGAGTCCGAATACAAGGCGCGCGAGAGATTCCACTATTGCCTTTGGTGCAACAGCGATCTTCATCAGACGCAGGTTTGCCCATTGAAAGGCAAGGGCAGACAGGGAAACTGAGCACCGCCGAGAGTGACGCGACGACACTCTCGACGCCTTCGGAACTGGTTTCTTCGCGAGTAACCAGCCTTCATTCCGAGGCGCACGCGGAAGTCGATAGTCCTCCGTTTCAACTTTCTTTTGAGGACTATGCTGCCCAGCTCGTTCCAACGCTGGGTACTCAAGCTCAAGGACAAGGAGTGTGTGCGGTTTCTTCTCCGTCCGGCCACAGCGACAGATCGTCTTCAAGTGGTTCGTCACGAGATTCGGCGCGCGAGTTCAATGTAGAGGCATTGGACCCGCTCACGTCTGAGGACTTTGCATGGCTTCCTCTCCCGACCACAGGCTGTTTGCCGGGACCGCAATGCGCAGCACTTAGCGCTAAGCTTCACACATACCTATCCTTCTATGCACCACCAACTTCGCCGACGGATGACGAAGTCGCGGTGGGGTACATCCTGGCGTATATTACCAAGGTGGCCCGCGAGTTTCGCACGCAGCGGTACGATGACAACAACGCACCACTCATGAATGTCCGCATTCAGGTTGGGCAAGCGTCCTGCAACGCTTTGCTGGATAGCGGCGCGTCTCGCAACTTCATGAGCCAGTCTTTTATGCAAAGGGCTGGCCTTGGCGCACAAGTTCGGAGGAAGGCAAACCCGACGGCGATCAAGTTGGCGGATGGTAAGACGCAACAACTTCTCGACCGTTACATCGAGGCCGTACCGGTCTACTTCGCACCTCATGCATACGAACCATTGACATTCGATATTCTCGACACGGACTTCGACATCATTCTGGGAATGCCTTGGCTTGCAAGTGCAGATCACACGGTCAACTTCCATCGGCGGACTCTTAGCGTTCGCGACGCCTTCGGCGCGAAAGTGGCGTGTACTATTCCTCTACCGCACACTTCGATCCGGTGCCAAGTAGTGATGGCCAAATCATTCCGGGCGACTTGCGCTTACGAGCAGCCCGAGGAGATCGGCCTATGTTTCCTACGGACCGTCGCGGTAGCCGACTCTTCACCCACGGACTTGTCTTCAGACCCCCGTGTGGTACGGTTGCTGGACGAGTTCGCCGACATATTCGAGTCACCTACCGGTGTGGTGCCGGGTCGGCCGATCTCTCACGAGATCATTCTTAAGGCCGGTGCCGTGCCGCCGAAAGGTTGCATCTATCGGATGAGCGAGGAGGAGCTTGAGGTCCTCCGCGCACAACTTGATGATTTGTTGGCCAAGGGCTGGATCCGCCCGAGTAGCTCCCCATATGGAGCACCAGTTCTCTTCGTCAGGAAGAAGAACAAGGATCTACGATTGTGAATCGACTACCGCAAGCTCAACACACAAACCGTCAAGAATGCGGGGCCTCTTCCTCGCATAGACGATCTTCTTGATCGGCTGGGCAGCGCGAAGTACTTTTCCACGTTGGATTTGAATCAGGATATCATCAAATCTCGATCCAGCCGAACGATCGCTACAAGACCGCGTTCAAGACGCAATATGGGCATTTTGAGTGGGTGGTCATGCCTTTTGGCCTCACCAACGCCCCGGCGACCTTTCAGGCGGCGATGACCAATGAGTTTCGTGCAATGTTGGACCGGTTCGTGCTGGTCTACTTAGACGATATTCTCGTCTATAGCCGGTCATTGGAGGATCATCTGGGGCATCCTCGACAAGTGTTGGAGACACTCCGCCGCGCCAAGTACAAGGCCAACCGTGACAAGTGTGAATTTGTCCGGCAAGAGCTGGAATACTTGGGCCATTTTGTCACACCGGAGGGCATCAGTCCGCTATCGGACAAGATTCAGGCCGTCCAAGAGTGGCCGGAGCCTCGGAACGTCACAGATGTCCGCTCGTTCCTCGGTCTTACCGGCTACTATCAGTGCTTCATCAAAGGCTACTCCAAGATCGCGGCCCACTTGAACAAGCTTCAGTGCGAGGATCGGCCGTTTGACTTCGGAGAGGAGGCGCGAGGATCCTTCTTCGCTCTCAAAGTCGCGCTATTGTCTCCGGAGGTCTTGCGGATATACGACCCGCTCGCGCCTACACGTGTCACCACGGATGCGTCTGGCTATGGCATTGGTGCAGTCCTCGAGCAACATGATGGTGTGGACTGGCACCCGGTCGAATACTTCAGCAAGAAAGTGCCTCTTGTGCATTCCATTGACGATGCACGCAAGAAGGAGCTCCTCAACTTCGTCCACGCACTCAAGCGGTGGCGGCACTTCCTCCTTGGTCGAAGCCAGTTTCGATGGGTAACGAACAACAATCCGTTGGTCTTCTACAAGACCCAGGACACCGTCAACAGCACCATCGCTCGATGGATGGCTTTCATCAACCAGTTCGACTTCTTTCCCGATCGCATTCCCGGGAAGTCGAACCATTTTGCGGATGCTCTTTCACGGCGTCCGGATCATTGTACCGCAGTCTACTCGACCTTCGAGATTGACGACGACTTGCGGAACAACTTCATCCGCGGATACCAAGCCGACCCCGAGTTTTGCGACAAGTACGCGAATTGCTCCTCTCCTAATCCGGCTCCTTCTCACTACCGGATCCAAGAGGGGTACTTGCATGTCCACACGCGGGGGAAGGACCTTCTTTGCGTACCGAGTGATCCTCACTTGCGTACACGGCTTCTTGGTGAGTTCCACGACGCTCCCGCTACTGGACATTTTGGAGTCAATCGCACAATTGGCCGACTTCGCCAGCGATTTTGGTGGCCCGGCCTTCTCGGCGACGTCACGCGCTATTGCGAGTCATGCGAGGTTTGTCGACGCTGCAAATCCCGCAACCATCGTCCGTACGGCGAGTTACGACCATTGCCAATCCCGTTGAGGCGAAGGGAAGCGATTGTCATGGACATCACCGGCCCGTTCCCCAAGCACAAGACCAGAGTGGATGGGATTTTCACGGTGGTCGACCGACTCACCAAGTTCGCCATGTTTTTGCCTGGTCGCTATCATGCCAAGGCACCGGAGTTGGCCGAGGTTCTGTACGCCGGTTGGATTCGCACCAAGGGTTACCCCAAGGAGATCGTCTGCGACCGCGACACTCGGTTCATGTCYGATTTTTGGTTGGCGCTCATCAAGCGATGGGGCTCATCTCTCAAGCCCAGTTCAGCTCGCCACCCTCAGACCGATGGCCAGACGGAGAGGGCGCATCAGACCGCACAGGTTCTCCTTCGCACTCTCATCCGCCCCGACCAAAAAGACTGGGTTGAGCGACTGCCGGATGTTGAGTTGGCCTACAACTCTTCCATCCACCCAGCTATTGGGATATCGCCCTTTGAGTTCGAGCACGGCTCGCCGGTTACGTCACCGTTGGACACGATTACTCCACGCACGGCCGAGAGCGACGACCATCTTCTTTTCTTGTGTCGGATGCAAGAGCTTCTTGACAAGGCACGCGACCAGATGGCTAAGACGCAGCAGCGCATGAGCCAACAGGCAAATCGCCAGCGTCTTCCTTGTCCATTCCGCGCCGGGGACCTCGTCTGGGTTTCAGCAGCGGAATTCAGCCTTGAACAAGACATCTCTCGCAAGCTCCTTCCGAAATGGATGGGGCCTTGGCCGATCATTGAGCCCGTTGGGGACGCACCTGAAGGACCTTCCTTCACGATTCAGGTGCCTAGCCACTTGCCCGTCTACCCAGTCTTTCATTGTTCCAAATTGGCTCTGTACACGCCAGCGGAACATGACGATTTTCCCGGGAGACGTACGCAGGACCCACCTTCTATGGATGGTTTTCAGGACGTCGGCGACATCATCTCCCAGCGACGCTACGGCAACAAGCCAACTGAGTATTTGGTGCATTTTGCCTACTGCACACATCAAGCTGACCGTTGGTTAACCCGTGCGGAACTGCAAGCGACAGCTCCAGACGTTCTCGCACGCCACGAGCGCAAGATGCAAGGCAAGCCGGTTTCTTCGGCTCCACGTCGCACCCGCGTCCAGGTTCCACCTTCAGATCGACGGCTTCGCCCTTGCCCCGGCTTGACTTAGGAGGGGGGGGTGTTACATGCAGCGCGTACACACACGGGCCATTTTGCAGGCCCGACGGCCATTTTGCAGGCCTGCGTCCGTTCAAGCTAAAAGCCTGAACTTCAGGCCAAAAGCCGAAAGCCTGAAATCCAAGGCTTACAGGCCCCCTGTCGGCTCAGCCCGAAAGCCTGAAGTTCAGGGCCTATCCCTGGTTGTTTCATACTAAAAATGGCAACAGCCTTTTTAGCTTGAAACGAAGGGCCATTTTCGGCCGTTCATCAGAACGACTGGCCCTGAAACTCAGGCACCGAACCAGGGTTTCGGGAACAGACTATTAATAGTTTGTTTCCCACGCCAGCCTCAAGCAGGCTGCTGCACGCCAGCCCCTGGCACACTTCGGCATTGGCAAGAGCTGCCTCCTCGGCCTGACTGGCCTCCAGTAGTCAGGAGGCAGGCCGAGGTAGTACATAGGACTTCCCAGGCACTTCCGAGGTAGGCAGTCGGTCAGTTGTAGTCTTCAGGATTCGGGAGCAGCACTCTGGAGGGAGCGCTGCAGTGTAGTAGTAGTAGCGTTAGCTTGT